GTTACGGCTGGACCACTCGACCGATCGATAAATGAACGCGACCGGTAGTGTGATTTTCGGACGGGCATGGGCAGAGAATAAGTTCTGAATCTGAACCGTTTATTCCCGAATACCAAAAACGATCCAGGACCTCAAATAGAGTATCGTTGCGCAATACGAAAGTATTCCGAATGCTTCTATTCGGAAGGTGGGATAAAACTATCTTCGCCGTATTTGGCCATGCAAACAGCAGGATGGAAAACATATTGAACAACTTTTATAAAATAAATATGCATTTTTTCCACATACATTTTTCTCTCCTCCGGAATCCTACCTCCAGCATAGCATGATCGTTCAGCGCAAAAAAAAGCCAGTTGTTAAAATTCCAAGAAGAGTTTTGCGTTGACCGACATTAGTGGATATTGTAGTCCGTACTTAAGACAAGTTCAGTTATATTATGATTATCTGTTTACCGAACCCGCTTCGAAAAATAGTGCGTGTATCTAAGACGAGTCAAACGTTGGTCCAGTGTCATCATCGCTTGAACGTTTTTTATTCCGAAATTCCCACATGGCGCATTGTTCCATAACTGATTCTCCTGTGGTGACTCTCTACTTATTGTCACTTGTTGCTGCGATTTATTTTATATTGTGATATTCACACTGTAATGCAGTTACAACCATAGTTATCAAAAGCGGGCTCGTGAATGCTCTGCCGGTGTACACACCTATTCTGAATGAACCAGACGAATACGTGACCCGACTCCAGCAGACGTGACTGGAATGAGTAAGTGCTTGCACTGAAATGATGTAGCGAGATGTTCGAATGTTCTTAGCATGTCTACCCTACCGTCGTGTACAAAATGCATTCAATCAACTGATTGCTTGAGTGATGTTCGGACATCCATTATCGGACGTAATGCATTCAATAAAAGGAAGTCAAAAGACAACAATAAGAAAAAAGTAAGCTCACTCAAGTAATTGTATCCATCTGAGAACATGTACTCACGAATTAGATTTGTCAGTTGTTGTCGCTATTATTATTATTATTATTATTATTATTATTATTATTATTGAGGAATGAGAGACAGGTGTTGATCATTTTGGGTTTTAAAGCCAGAACTATGAGGTGCCCTGACTTGATCGGTATCATTCTCATGATGGGCTACACTATCGTCACATGACTGGTACTACTTGAAGTCCATAGTCTTCCAGTGAGGTTTGGATTCTGGTGACCAATCAGTTCCGTGACCAATCATCGTGATATGGCGGTACCCCACACCGCGTTTATCGAAGTATGCCTAGTCGATAGGCGAATAAGGGCTGGAATAAGCTCCTGTAACCGGGGGCGCGTCCG